CATTTTTACAGTCTTTTACCATTAAATTCACGGTAATTTTTTACATTAAATTTTGTGCAAAAATATACATAACATTTGGTTTGCAAACGTCTTACTCAGGTATTTGTTCTGCTTTTGTTTCATCAATAAGGCCCATTGACAGACACTTTTCTCCACATGTCTATATTCGTCATGGTAGTGTTTCAAGTTCAAGTTCCCACTGGGCACATCATTTATAAAAACAGTCTCTGCAATTATTATTGACTTACTATGAGGTATTAAGGATGACTTAAAGGGGTCATGTGATGCGATTTCAAGTTTTCCTTTCTCTTTGGAGCGTTACAAGCTGATTGCGCATAGATAAGATCCCTGAAGTTGCAAAGACTAAAGTCTCAAAACCAAAGAGATATTCTTGATCAAAGTTAAGACTCTGCTACGCCCCCCTAAAATGGCTCGTTCTAACACGCCCCCACATATCTACCTCACTATGTGGAAATATTAGTATAATGCAGCCCAAATGTGCACGCAAAGAAAGAAGGTGTGGTTTCAGTAACCGCAGTTAGTGTTGAAGCAGCATGTCAGGGAGACGCTGTGTGTTTCTAGGTGAAAGCAAAAGCACTTTATTTGGCCTTCCGAAAGTAGATGCATTTAGGAATCTTTAAGATTACTTCCAACAGAACAGCAATGCATTTTATGGACGACCGTTTCGTGAACCTAGGAGAGGAGGTAATTCTGACTTTGCTATGACAATCTGGCGCTTCTGAATCAGCTACTGTTTTGTTATTAGTTTAAGTATTTGCTATTGACTGCTCAAATTTTTTTGGAACAGTTTTGCGCATTGTGTGTGCGTGTGTGTGTGTGTACGAGCGCATGTGTGTGAGAGAGAGAGAGAGAGAGAGAGAGAGGAGGGGGAGTCACATCATAGTGGAGTGAGCTGTCTTAACCGTGGTTTGTGTACTGCACACATACCAGCTTTATCACTGTGTCTGTCATGCGACTCTGTTCTCCTTTCGGGCTCTGTCTTTGCATTTATTTTGAAAGATGAAGCTCACGATTATGGAAAGGGGTGTTACATTTCCGACGAGTGCTTGCGGTGTTCGGCCAATCACAATGCACTGGGTCAGCTGGCCAATCAGAGCAGACTGCGCTTGACGGAAGGAGGGACTTTGTAGAAAACAAAGCATTTGCAAGAGGTGGGGCATAGAGGACCTACAATAATGTACAGTATTTGAAGAATAATGTGTTTTTTGAACATTAAAGCATGTCAACATATTCTGTTACACCAAATACACAAAATAAGGATCTTTAAAAAAGCATCATATGACCCCTTTAATAACTGCAGTAATTTCAGGCCATGACCCTCAAGGGCACCAGTCATTTAAAATGAGGGCTATTATGGAAGAACAAAGGTCATTAGATTGGTTCAAAGACCCAAAGAAGATTATTTTAACAAAAAAAATCACCACTGGACTGTTATTGGTTATTCTCTATATTTGTGAATTACCAATAGTATTCACAGTGAGAGAGAGAGAGTATTGAGTGTATGATCATATGTGTAAATGTCTTACATTTAGGTAACATTTAAGAAAAAAAAACAATCAATTGACAGTAAAGACATTTATAAAGTTACAAATACATTTTTATTTTCTATTTATCAAAGAATCCTGAAAAAAATACATCACGGCTTCCACAAAAATATTAAGCAGCACAACATTGATAATGTTTCTTGAGCAGCAAAGCAGCATATTAGAATGATTTCTGA